TATTCCATCAAAAGCTCAGCTAGAAGCTGACTCTTCAGATGAGAACAGGTTCCGTTGGCATACTGTTAGTGTACATGGCAGGGACAAGATACTTGATTTGAAGCTCCTGGAGCCATACATGAAAGTCATCTCTCATGGAGGTATTTTCATTTATCTAGTGGTATATTTATATTACTATATTTACAGATTTAGCATAATAATTATGACTTAGATATGCACTCTTGATTGAAATGTGTGGTCAAATTGGCTGGGAATAATGGCCAAGCTTGGTCAATAAACAATTTACTCTATGGGAAAACAATTCAAGGAATATTTTTGAGCTGGCAAGAGAGGCCCAACTTTTCATCTTGGGTTGATGGCAATGTGAGACGAAAATATGATTGGACCTGTCTGTGTTTGTTGTTAATTATGTTGTGTTAATGGCTTGGTTTATAAGTGGTTATACTTAATGTCTAGACAGGTTACTTAAGTAGGTGCTGTTTACTTGAGTCTCAAGGCATCATTTCCACAATCTATTGGTTAGATCAAGTGTGTTTATGTTGCATGGCAGAGATGGCCAGAAAGGGACCATTGAAATTATAATTATATACTCTTCTGATTCATGATTATAAATTATTATGCTTTCCACACCTGGTTGGGGTTTTATGGAAACCAGACTACAGGTTACCACAGATGTGCAGCTGAAGCACGGTCTTGAATTAATATTCTAGGCTTGAAAATCTTGATTTGGGAACTAGGGAACTAATTAAAGTGGCTGTAAGTGCACACTGACCTGGTGCACTTACTGTCTAGCTTTACTGTTCTGATACTCTTCCTATGTGTACTAACTAAATTTTCATTTGCCTTACTTAATTAAAAATAATAATAAATTTAAAAAAAAGCAAATGTTTTTTTTTCTGAAATTTCAGGTTATTTCAGTGATACTAAGTCAACCATTGTTGTGATTGCTGCCTGTTATCTACCTGAGAAGACTATTAAGAACTATGATTTTCTAATGGAGCAGCTTTTCTTGTAAGTTCTCTGTCAAAAGACATTAAGAGGATGTTAACAGTCCTTCTTTCTTGCTTATTCCTCTTCCCGTGACTGACTGATAACTAGTAATTTTTTGCTTGGGGTTGTATTTTTCCAGTACTGGTAATCCTTTTTCTCACTTCTGTAGTCTTTGCTTATTCCTCTTTCACCCACCATAAATAAAGGGGGTTAAGTATCTAAGTCAGCAATTTTGATTGTATAAACCTTGATAAGTGGTGTGAGTGGAGGGATCAAAAGTTGACGGTTTTCAGAATTTCATTTGGGTCCTGACTCAGAATGTATTCAGAGACTGTTAAAACTGGTACTGACATTGAGGGTAAATAGGTAAAAGTAATAGAAGTCTCTGCTATAACACTTTCGTGTTTCTTTTTAATTTCTCCATTTTTTTTCTTGTTTATTACTGTAATTAGTTATGTCATTAGCACTTTGGAACTTCTGGCAATCCATGAGGATTACTATCTGGTGTACTTGAACGGTGGAACAAGACAGCAAAACATGCCATCTGTAACATGGATGAAAAGATTCTACCAATATATCGAAGGAGGGTAGGAAACTAGAATTTTTTTTCTGGTAATTAGTGGGAAAAAATTCAGGATCAGAAGATATTATTACATCATCTTCATACTTCCAAAGGATGGAAGAAGGCATTACTCCAACAAACATGTCACAAACTTATTCATATCATTGATACAATTAGGCTCACTAATAGCCCTTGAAATGGTGATCTTAAAATACGACTCTTTTTTTTTATTCTCAATTTAGCCTGAAAAAGATGAAAGAAATGTTCATTGTGCATCCCAGTTTTCGACTCAAAGCAGTTATTACACTTGCCAAACCACTCATCAAGTAAGATACGATTGAAATGATGTGTAATGTATTTTTACTATTGGAGTACATTTATAGTGTGTGTTATAGAAATGGATTTTTAGGGAAAGTTCATTTCACAACACAGAATAACTGAAGGCAGATACATGGCAAATACATCACATCATGTGTCAAATATGTTATCTACTGCTTCTGTAATTTAGAATGTCTGTGAATTGCCTCTTTTTCTTGCAACTTTTTTCAGTGCCAATTTTTGGAGGAAACTAAGTTTCATAAGCACACTTAGTACTCTTTCAAGCCTTGTTCCAGTAGATTACATTTACATCCCTGATGAAGTGATGAGGTATGTGGCTGCTTTGTCAAGTTCAGAGTAAACAATATGTTAACGGTGAAAACAAGCAATTCATAGTGCAACACCTTGCAACCAACAATCAAGCTAGTTATAGAGGGAGCTGCAACCTTGGCCAATCCTCTTTAGATAATTTCCATCAATTTCTGCACATGCATTTGATAGCTAAGTGGTATCAAATCAGTACAGGGTTGATGATTCAATTGTGCTGTGGTCTGAAAATCTTCATATTCAATTATTTAGTGAAATAGATAATGACACAAAAAAGTACTCTGAGTGAAATTGCCCGTTGAGTCAATCCTTACAGTAATTGTTGTCACTATTCTCAATACTAGAACGGAAAAACTCTTGAACTTTTAATCATCTTTCACTCCCAAACCCAAAGGAAGGAGCACCCTGAATCTCCTCTTTGGCATCTTCCCTTTGCATGCCCAGCTTACTATTAGAATGTTATTCAACTTAATAACTTACTGTCACGATTTGATTTTCTCCTTACTCTAGAGTTGACCCAACTTACAGACAAGTGCACAATAGGTGAAAGCATTCAACTCTTGGGAAATTACTCTGGGATTTATTAAATGAAAGGATTTTTGAGACATAAATACATTTAGTTAGTGAACTAACCTTGTAATAAAATTATGACATACCTTCACTTAGCTTAACTAATTGTTGGTGAATTTGATATTAAGATTCTTATTCTTATTCTGAAGCTTATTGTTAGCTTACTGAGGCAGGTCAACCTACCATTGTTTAATTAACCCTTTAAACCCCAAGATCTGATCATCAATTTTCCCCTTTAGCTCCTTCATGATAACTGAATTTGAATTTTTTTCATTACCTGTTTGTTGGATAATGTGTGGAAATTAAAACAAGAAATTACATCTTAATCACTTATGGGGGGTAATGGGTTAAATGACTGAATTTTGATATAAGAGGCAAATGCAGATGGTTTTGTTTGTACTCGTTATCATTTGTTAGTATGAGCTTTGTTTGTATTTTTGTTTGCAAAAAAGGTCGATAGTTCAGTGCTGGCAACACAAGCCATACTAGAAGAGTGGTTGTCATATTCTGTGTATCCCAGTGGCTAAAAGCTATTATACTGGTACCTAATTTATTTTTTAATTTTGCCAAATATTTCTTTAGCACATTACTGGCAAAAATAATGATCAATCCATTGGAAGTTACATTTAGTTATTAAAACCTTATTTATATTTTTAATATATTTTAAATCACCTTTACTGGTAGTTTTCTATGTTTATTTGCATGGAAAAATACAAGTTGGTTAAAGTAGGGTTTTTATGCTTGCCTACACACAAAACCTAGGACTGTAAAAGGGAGTTTTTCTGATCCACTTCTATATAAAAGGTCCAATACAATCAAGATGAGAAATTGTGAATGGTTTTGAAAAAAAAAATGAAAAAATTTTATCTGATTTGTACATCTTGGTTTCAGAAATTGGAGAAAATCTTTTTGATTACTTCACAGTAGAGGGTTTTCTTTACCACTGGGGCTTGTGTACATTTACAATTGTAAAATAAATCAGATAGTCTGAGAAATAATGCAGGAGTTAACGTAGTGCATTTTGTGGCAGATGTATTAGCACAGAAAGTGTTCTCAGTACAAATGCTCAATATTTCTGCCATGGAATCAGAGTAAAATAGATATGCTGTGCAAGCAGTTTCTGTGTAACTGACAGTTACAGTTAATGTAGCAGTTGTTAAGATCAGAAAAAATTTCTTTTCAGTTACATTTGAGAAAACATGTTTAACCCATTGTAAAATTTTTTTCTTGCTACAAGTGTGGGCTAGCTCATTGTTGAATCTGTACTTGATTTTTTATTACAACACCGGAAATAATTTTTGCAGTTAGGTATCAGCTACTGAAGGTGTTTTTGGTCACTGTAGATTTTGTTGTGGTTGCTGTGCCAAACTTTATATTTGGGTTTGTTCTTTTGAGAAACATGAAATATTCAATCACAACTTTGATATATTATGGTGGAGTTTTTGTAACATATTTATCTCATTTTAGTTCGTAATTTGCACAAATATTAATGTTTGTCGTTGAGAATAATTTACTCAGCACCTGGACATATACGTATACGTATACGTAACAGTAGTGTTATAACCCTTAAAAATACTTCAGCTGTAAGAATGCAGCAAAATTTTTGTTGGTCACTTTAAATTTATTGATTACTAGTACAAAGTAAAAAATCTGGACTGCTTCTTTATGTCTAAGAGTGGGGATTTTCCACAATCAATAAAGTTACCTAAACTAAGAAAATGTGTGGAAAATCTGTTTTTCTTGAAACTGAAATAAATTTACATTTCATTGTTAATTTCAATTAAATGATAAACAAAATGCCCTTTTCATTTAATTAGTACCTAAAATATTCCAGTTTTTTAAATTCATTTGATGCATGCATGCTCAGTTAAAAACAATAAATGAAAACAAGAAAGGCTTTGGAGAATACCACAGGTACACACGTGGGAAGATAGCTCAACTGTGATTGAAAGATACAAGACTCAGTGATCCTTTACTACTCTTACCTTTACTCAAACTGAGGTATGATTAGCTGAGCTGTTGAATTTTAACAAAATTGTTCCATGACCTTTGTTTTTTTTTTCTGAGTTGTTTTTCTTCTGACACTTCTTTCACCCTACATGTCATCAGTAGTGACACCTCTTAATCGGGTGTTGTACAACCACACCCAAATAAAAATTATCATGGCAAAGTGGTGCAAAAGATAAGACTCACAAAATAACCCAGAAAAAAAAAAAGAAAGAAATGGCTCAAGTTCAGGAACATGCAAAGAAGGCATGATTCTTTTTTATTTTCATTGCAACTTGTTGGTTTGAAAGATGGCAGGAGTGTTCTGGATAAATCATGAGAACATAATCATGCAAAACCACTACAATCCTAGTTTACTTTTAACATTTGTTTAACAAAAAATGCTCTTATTGGACTTTTTCAGCTCTATCTTTAGATACTATAGTACTGCTTATGCACACAGACTGGGCAACTTTAGTTTTAAGTGTCCCAATTTGAACAACCCTCCATGTATAGTGTACATTTGTGAATATCATTTTTATCATACATAATTTGCTGACTGCCCCCAGTATTAAATCAAGACTTGGCCTTGAAGACAGGCATTTACATCTAGTAGTTTAATTCACAAAGATAGCGTCACCAAGGTTTTTTTCTTAAACAATTGTATTAGTTTCACACCATAAGTCTAAACGGAGAAGCCAGGCTGGCCAACCTATTTCACAAATACAGTTGTAACTCTTAATTAACTCATCAAATCTGTCAGTCTAAAAATTGTGAACCTTATTCTTGGATAACTTTTTCTTGGAAATATGGAGAAACACTTGATTGGGAAAAAAAAAAACAAAACAAAAAAAAGCTCACCTAAATTAAGCAGTCTGATAAGACAGTTCTGACCAAATGGTGAGTGCCCATTGACAGCTATAAATCTTAAACACCAGGGTAGCAATCTTGACTTTAAATTGTTTTAATATAATGTTAGGGGACATCAGTGTTTGCAAAAGTGCTCCATCTTTGAGACCCAAGATTTGTCTAGGACCCCAGAAACACTCGCAGCATTACAGACCTAGGCCCAGTTGTTCGAAGGCTGATTAGTGCTAACCCATGGATAAAATATAAACTGAGTTTCTTTTTTTTTCCTATGTTCAAAAGCCTATGTGGGATAATTTTTTACTTAAGTATTCTTTGTGGGGCATCCAATCACCAAATTGTAACCAAAAAAAAATTATACTGAATTTCATTTTAAAGCTTTCAGATCTGAAAACAAACTTCATAATAACCCTGGATTATATTAACCCAGCTTTGAACAACTCGGCCCTAGATTATAATCTCTCCTGTCACCAATACTACCCTATGTAACTCTAAGCTACCTACAACTGTAACAACCTGTACATGAAAATAAAATTATTTCATTCTATGTATCATTATCAACAACAGTTAAGTCATTTTAATTAGAAAAATAGAACATTTGTTATTCTACTTGAAGGAGGGTAAGTTTATGTGCGGGAGTGATTTCATGGATGGTAGGTTTATATTAGGTTTGGGAAGATTATGTAGGTTTGGACTGATATTTCTAACAGCAGACATTGCTCTCTGAGGTGCAGCACTTATTCCAGCCTAGGAACAAGAAAACAATTTAACATCATTATGGTAAAAAGTATCAGCAGCCTTGGTAAAGAGTGAAAAGGGAATCAGCTTATCTTCTTAACTTAAGAATACAATCACTTAGTGATGGAAACACTACTGTTAGTGACAGTTAACTACCTGTGACCAACAAACACAGGTCACTGAATAGCTTCCTTGCAAATGACAGCAATCTCTGTAAGATAGACTTGGTGCCATTTTCTTTCCAATTTGAATAAGGATTATGGAAAGAGAGAAATCACAACTTAAATCAGGATCTCTTTTTAAATTACATTAGCAATCTGTGGGTGTACCTACAATTTCTTGTCAACCCAAACATTCAACCAGAATTGCCTGAAGACTGTATGTATGTGCACCATGAAATATGACACTGTTAAAAACAATTACTCATTCATAACTTTGAAGATGCATCTTACCTCTGATTTTTCTAATTTATTCTGTGCCTCAATGTGGGTTAAAATCTCAGACATGTTTGTTTCTAGTACCATACCACCCATTACAATCTCTTGTAAAATAAAGTGAACCTGTATGAAGCACAGAAAAATGCAAATTAAACTAGAGGTTGCTTGAATTGTTTCGACTTAAGATGACTTCAAACTACACCATATACACATCTGCTTAAAAATTTCAAATTGAGCACATAATATATGCTTCTGTTTGCATACCTTGTCCATATGAAATATAAGATCCAGCTCACAGACATTTTCAAAACACTTGTCTAAAGTTTCCACAAATACCTAGAAGAAACAAAAAAGGCCATTAATCATTGATCAAATAAAAATATAAAGGGACATAACCATCACTTTTTCATGGTGTTCACAATACAGTCCAACCTGTATTAAGCGGTCACCCTCCAGGAAAAGTGGGATGACTGCTTAATACAGGTTGACCGCTTATACAGGTGCTGCAGAAAAGGGATACAAAAAAAGAAAAATATCCCATTTCATGCTATAATTGACAGCTTAATGAACAAAAACTCACTCAAAAATGCTATTGACATTGATTTCAGGATGAAATTTTACTTGAAAATTATTCTTAGTTTTATTAGTCTTCTGCCACAGGTGAACATTCATTACAGTTGGAAGACAATACAAACAGGCTGTTATGACTTGGTAAAGGGTGACCAGGACTGCTTGATAGAGGTGACTGCTTAATAAAGGAGAAAATTAGAGTACTTCAGAGAAAAAATTTCAGGACTTTGGAAACCCACTGCTTTTAAGTTCTCTCAAAATTTCAAAATGATTTTTAACTGTGGCAGTAAATAGGCTTACTCCAAAGTTCAATGTTGAAACTGTGTTGATTTCATATTTCAACTTACCTGTATGAGATCAAGTATTCCTAGCTCACTCTCTGATGAATCCACACAGAACACAAAATAAAGCGTAGCGTAATGTCGGTAAATAATCTTGAAGTCAGAACCACCGATCAAGCTAAAATCAACCATGA